AAGTTTTGATAGTATAGAAAATCTTGCACATGCTGTTCAGGCAATTACTGATAATGTCACAAGTGATGAATATCAAAACTCTTTCCAGGAATGGCAAAGGTGGCTGAAACTTTGCATAGACGTTAATGGAGAGTACTTTGAAGGAATGCAATAGTTTTTTAAAAAAATCAAAAAATGTAATTTAGTTAAATAAAAATCGATTCTCAAAACTTTTCAGACACCCCACATATTACAGAAGATGTACATACCCTTTAACAATTTTTCTAAATCATCATTTTTAGATGAAGTATTCTTAATGAGCGCATTTCCAACCACCTCTACAAAACCCACCTCCCTTTTTATTCCATGCAATTTCATGAACAATATGCCATCATGCTTATTACCAATTTTTTCTCTTTCGTTTTCTTTTTTATGAATGTTTTTTTGTTCTTTCCTCTCCCAATTCTCAATTTCCCCTCTATTTCCATATTAATGAAGAGTCAAGATCTACACAACCAGTATAATAAATAGAGTTTTCAATAATAACACTAATGTTTCAAGCCATATATATTCTTCAACATCATGAAAAATTGGAGCTAAAAGCAAATTAACAATTTCATCTCGATATCTATACTCACTCACTTCATTATCTATTAAAGTTGAACATTTTCTCTGCAATTCTTTACCCCTAATAACCAAAAAAGAAACTTTAATTTTATGAAACAATTATTCAACAATACAGAGGAACTATCACATACATATTTTTCAATACATCTTGACACCACAATAACTCATTGTATTCATTTTTATATTCTCCATCAAATGGAGGTTCTGAAAATTTTGTGATCATTTTATTTATATTCACACTGAAATTTTCTATATTTGTATTATCATTTATAATAATTCTCATTGATGTAATTTTTCTCAATGTTGTTGTGTGCCTTATTTCATTAAAACAAGCAAATATCAAGCTATTAATTCAATGTTATAATGGTGAACACTCAAAATATAAAATAAAAATTACTTTTCAACAAAAATTTTAATTTGGTTATCTCCAAATATTTCTATCATATTCTTTGTATAGGGAAATGTATTATCAAATAGGCATGTGATGTTGTAGAATGCTAAACGATTTCCTTTTTTCAAATATTGTGGTATCTAGCAAAATTTTATCAAATTGATATGAGTACATGTTAACAGCATTATAGAAACTAGGATTTACCTCAGAAGATCTAGTTTCTGATTTATTAGTGGTGGTGATGACATTATTATTTTCGGATTCTTCGACGTCACAAATATCAATAATATCAATAAATGGTGTTTGTTTGTGTCAAAATCTCTTAACAATCAATAATGAATGTTTAATGACATAAAAAGATAAACAACTTGATGCCAACCAAACTTGTCACAGTAGTCGAGCATAGTATTCATGAATTTTATAAATTGAAAAGAAAAATTCTAATTCACTTTTCTATTTTTTTATTTTTCATTCTTCCTTAATTATAAAAAAGTAAACAAACAAACATGACTTACAATTATCAGCAACAACAAAATCAAGAAGTTAATAGCCAACCAATTATACAACCGGTTCAACATCCCAGCCTTCAACTACAAAATCTCAACCAGGTTCTTCCTAATCACAATCAACATCAACAAAATATGGGTCAACAACACCAACAACAACAAACTCATGATCAACAAATTCTGAAACAACTATCCCAATGTTACTCTCAGCACATTTACCAACAAAATTCTGCACATCAACAAATTCAAAACTGTGGACAATATAATCAAAACAATAGTGACATCATGATGATGACAAATGATCATCTTCCTTCTTCAAATTATGGGAATGTTAACAATGAAGATGATCTTTTAATTTTGAGAATTTCTCATCGTATGTTGATGATTAAAGATTGTATTATGATGATGAATCAACAATATGTTGAATTGGAGCAAGATATTATCAAGTTGAGATGCAGATACAGTGCAGATCATATATACTCGAAAGCTGAAATATCATGTGATCCACATGTTGGATTTTCAAAAACTTTTTTTTAATTTTTAAGGGTAAGACAAAATTTGAATATGAAAATTGTCCATTAAAAATTTTTGTGATTAATATTAAATAAAACGCGTATTGTTTGTTTATAAAATCACATCGCCGAAAACTATAATATTAGCTGTATGTAAAAAGTTAGTATTAAAAATAAAGACTTGTATTATAAACAAAGTTCAGACTCTTAGCGAATGTATAATAAAGTTACCGAATGCACAAGTTAAACTTGCGGAATGACTTTTAAAATTGTGAAAGTTTATTTTAAACCATAAACGCACAGGTATCTGTGTCAAATATTTATTTAAAGTCACAAATGCTTAATATTAACTTATTAATATCTATACTACATGTCTATGATCTATGGAATGAGATTTATTTATACATGCATCTTAGTAATAATAGAAAAAAAAAAGAGAAAGGCAACCAAATAAATATATATTTCGCACTTTTTATTCGTTTATTTAAGATTTCACAATGAAAATGCAAATTCACAATTTTTCTTTAGAAGAGCAAATAATGGATACATGCTTCGTGACATACAAAGGTTCTTCTAAAATCCATATTATCATGCTATATGTCAGCTGGTAATGCATTTCCATTGAGTATAGATAAGAAAACTATTGCTTTAAAATCAAACAGAATGATTCAGTATATCTTACTTTTTATGTATATATGATAGACAATCTTGTGCAAGGATCATAATTTTTTATTCCCGCCACTAGTAATACAAGGGAAGTATTTTGATTTTGTAAAATTAAAGCACAAACAATTCTGTAGAGTAACTTTTCTAAAATTAGACTTGTTATATCATATTATATCATTTATTTATTATTAGGATATGAGTTTGGAAGTCATTTGATCCAATCAATTGAATTGTCATCTATGCAATTACCAAAAGGTGATGATGGATATTACGCTAACATGCAAAAAATTGATTTTATTTAATAATTTATTTTTGGATATAATGTGATTTTATCATCATTTTCTTCTCCGCCTTCAACAACAGCAGAAACAAAGAACAACATCTTCAAAAATTTCATATACATTAATATCAACATTTCATTATTTAACTTTATTTATTTATTTATTTATTACTTTCTACCTTCTTTCTCTCTCTAACAATTTCAACTTTTAACTTTTTAAAGTTAAAATCACTAACTTCTACAAATGAAATATTTCCACCTTCAACTAATGCAAATACAATATTTGAATTTTCATCTTTGTTGAAAAGTTTTTCAAGGTTTTTTAAATTTGGAGGTTTTTCTGAATCAGAACTATTTTCATAAAAAATATTATAATATAAAAAAATCAGTAATTAATTTATTTATCTATTTTATATTTTTTCATTGTCTCCTTACCAAGAAACAATTAGATTAAAAAATGGTTTTCCAGGACTTTTTTTTTTAAATGATTGTTTATATACAAAAAAATCAATGTCATATTCTTCTTCCTCCTCTTTGATATTTAAAACAAAATCTTTGGATCTTTCAATTATTTGCAAATTTTTTAAAACTTCATCTAGTTTAAAAAATAAAGAGGTAAATGAAATATTCATTTTACACATATATAATTATATTTTAATACAATCATCATTACCATAACTGCTACACGATTTAGATTTTACTATTGGTCCCATCATTTGTTTGCCATTATCCTCACTCTTATTTTTATCATCAAAGAAGCCAAATAATCTCTTTAATGTATTTCCAAATGATAGATCTGCTCCTTGTATGAATAATCTACTAAATCTTTGAGTAAAATTTGCATTGTTGATCATTTGTTTATTTGTATTCAATAAAATTCCTCCGCCTGCCCCTTCCTCTTCCACTATTCTTTTATTTTGATCATTATTTGTCTTTGATTTTTTCTTTGATGCCAATAATGATAATGATGTTGTCCTCAAGACAGTATATCCAATTCTTTTCAAATATGCATATACCTATGAAAAGCAAACATAAATAAAATTTAATTTTATAAACATAAATCTTTTGCAATATTTTTGTTCCGATCTTTCTTCACCTGATACTTTTCAAAGCTTAACCAATCACAAATCATTAAATTATAAGCCTGTTGCAATGAAATAGGTGTATTGTTGTAATAAACAACTAATGATCCTCTTTCCAACAAAAATAATGTTTCTTCAGGAAGTAACCATTGTTGCCCTGAGATGGAGTGGCCCATATTATGAAAATGATTTCCTTTAATAGTTGTTACTAGTGCTTTATTTGTTGGAGCTGAGTACCATGTTGCAATACAAAATTGACGACTTTAACAATATATGTGAAAAGAGACAAATAAGTTTAATTGCAATCGGATATGCATTAATTATTATATGCAAGTATAATAGACAACCTTGATCCACTTCTCTCCTCACTCAAAACTTTATTCAAGGCATTTAATGATTCTTTTGTAAGCTGTTCTTGCCTTGATGATCCATTAGGTTTAAAATCTTTTGTTCCTTTTTTTGGAATTCCATAATCATTATCTTCCTTATTATGTTTTCTATTATCATCATCTTTATCATTATTATCATTATCATTTTTATTGATTAATTAATTATTTATTCAGTCATTACTTGCCGGTCTTTTTTAAATAATGTTGAAAAATCAATCTCTTCAATAAATTCTTCCTGTTTATCCATGTGGAAGTTACACGTGAGGTGGGGATCAATACTGTGTGAAACATTGAACGGTCAGTCAACTAACTGTATATATTATGAATTGATCACATGATTATGATCTGCAAATCCCTAATATAACGGTCTCTTTTTGCCAAAACGGAAGAACCGTTATAGAGAGAGTGCACTGCAATCACCAAAGTCAGCTTATTATTCCTCGTGTTATTCTTGTTCAATTGTTAATGGACGTGTATTATCATTTGATATGATTATAAAAAAAATCGTTTTTATGACGTGTAAAAAAAATTTGCACTTTTTATTAAAATTATCATGAGTGGTGTTACAAGTAGTCTAAAAATTTTTTTTTTGTTACGTGTATACGATTCATTTTAAATTCTTTAAAAAGTCTGCTTTATTTAATTCCCTTTAGTTTTTTTTTTGGAAACCAAAAAAATAAAATAAAATAAAAAATTAAGTTTCAAGCTTTTGTTTAATACTATTTTTATGGCTCTAGTTAAAAAATTTAGCGGCCTAGATAGATTCTGAAATCCACATTAACCAATATACGAGACTGACCATATCTATATGGTTGATTACTATTACCTGTTAATCACTACAAAATTCAAATTCTGAATGCATATTTACATTTCCTTCCAAATCCTTTTTTTTTTTGGAAAATTAAAAGAATTAAAATTAAGCAAGAGTAAAACACCAAAAATCAATAGCAATATTTCTCCAAAAGTATTTTTTTAGTTGAGCATTATCAGCATTAATTCAATCTAGACGAGAAAATAAAAGGTTTGATGATTTTTTGGTTTTGCAAGTAGAAGTAAAAATGGGTAAATCCACTTCCTTATTAAATAGTTTAGTGTTTTGCTTTTCATAAAAAAAAACTGGTGATGAAGCCTCCTTACTCTAAGTCTTGACGTGAAATCTTTGGGTCATCAATTTCAGCATAATGTGATTAATAATTAGTTGTCATCTCATTTTCATAACCCTATGCTATACTTTTCCTATTTTTCGCACGAATTTCACTAAGTATATTTATCTCTATCTGAAAGTACCTTGGGTCGCCCACCTCTCTCATCACTTTCAACGGCTTCTCCTTTATTGTATTTTACTATGATATTTATATACAGTCCTCAATGGTATCCCGAGTCTTTTACTTATTTCTGTCTTGCCGAGCGTTTAACAACAGATAATCTGTACTTTTAAAAATATTTTTTATGAAAAAAGCAAATTTGTGAAGGTCTAAAATCAATCTCAAGTGTTTGTATCACGTGTTATTCAAATTTAACAAAGGTTTATATGTATATAATGAGAGCATGGGACGCGTTTTTTATTATGCCATTTAGATGTATTTAAACTTGACAATTAGAATTAATTATCAATTGAAAATTTCGAAGCTCATAAAATCACCCATTTACATTGCAAAAAAAATATTACAAAACTCGAGTATACTATACAAATAATAAGACGCATAGGTTTATATATAAAAAGGGAAAATCTTGTCTTCTCAACTAACCCTTTAACTCCTTAAAATAATTAATTATTATTATTTAGGATGCCTTTATTTGTTTCAAAATACATATATTACTATTTTTATTATTTTATTACTATCAAAAATATCACACCATCATCATCGTCGTCTTCTTTTTCTCAATCATTTTACCTAATCTCATACAGGAATGACAAAGGAAGTCAAATTTACAGAGACATCGTCTTCGAAGAGTGTAGATGCGTTAAATTTTGGGATCTTAATATACACCCAATTTAAGAGGGAGTACTTGCAAGAAGGCTCTCGTGCGATGTTCTTAACAATAAATTGTTTAACAAGAGCATATGCAATGTTAACCTTGGTTTTGTGACAAAGATGGCCGATACAAAAGTGTCAAAGTGACCTGTCAAGAAGTATAAGCAAAATAATTGTGTAAAAGGAAACTTGCCATTTTGAAGTTGATGGCAAAAGTGCAGAGGCGTTTGCTTTGACAGTTCACAAAATCCTTATCGCACATAACGTTAAATGTTGATGAAAACATGTTTGCGGAAGGCCAAACGTACGTTGCGATTAGCCAAGCCGCTTTGCTAGATAAGTTACACATCCTGGCTTTGATTATTCCCAGCTGAAGATCTCTTAAAGGAGTAAAGAGGTTGTGAACAGCAACGGAATGCAATTGTTGTAATTGTTATAAATAATAACACCAACAACAACAACAACAACAACAATAGTTGCTTGTCTCCGCCCCTCCTTGATGATTATGTAAAAAAAGAGCATGAATTTCTTTAAGATTAAAGATAATAGTTGTGTGTGAAATGTGAACGCCCATTGATCTTTTTTTTTTTTGGTATACTTTTCTAAGGTTCTGATGAACCTTTTTTGGTTTGTTACACGCCATAATGTTATTCAAAAAAAAAATCACTATTCAATATAAAAGTTAAAAATTTAAAATTTTATATAATGTCGCATTGTAAATTATTACCACAAGAAAGATGCGGATTTGTATTTAAAATTTGTAATGAAATGTTTCATAATGCTCAGATTAATTCTAATAAAGAAAGTGAGAAAGATTATTTTTTTTCATTAGTTGAAAAAAATAAAGAGCTTTCTGAAAATGAAAAAAAATATTGTAAAGAACAGTTTATTTATGAGTATGAATTAAAAAATGCAAAAGATAAAAAGGGAAAACCAAAAAAATGTAACAAGTGTAAATCAACAAGATACTCTGATAGGTTCTGTGAAGGTTGCATTAGTTTACAGTTATGGACTCTTTTCACCACTTGGACATCTGGCAATGACATAGTTGATCATTTTATTCAACAATGTCAAATGAAATCACCTTTGCCAAAATATATTTTAGAATGGATACCTTTTGAGCAATTTGAAAAAGTAACAAAGTTAACTGAAGGTGGATTTAGTTCAATTTATAAAGCTACATGGATAAGGGGAAGAATAGCTGATTATGATGAAAATAAAAAGGGTTTTAGTTATTCTGGAAGGAAAAGAGTAGTATTAAAAAGTTTAAATGATTCAAGTAATCCAGGAAAAGATTTTTTTGATGAGGTTGGTAGTTGTTATTTAAACAATATTATATTTATTATATAGTACTAATTGATTTTATATTTAATCACAGGCAATAAATTATTGTAAAATTAAATAAACAATGATTGTTCAGTGCTATGGTATAACTAAATTTCCAGATAATGGAAATTATGCAATGGTTCTTAATCATTTGTCAGAATGAAATTTAAGGAATTATTTACAAAAAAATCATTTAGATTTAACATTAAAAGACAGAATTACAATCTTTAATTATTTGTGTGATTCATTAGATCATATACATAGAAAAGATTTAATCCATTGTGATTTACATAGTGGTAATATATTATTGCAAGGAGGTAATTGTTATATTACAGATTTAGGATTATGTGGACCAGTTGATGAAAAATCATCAAATAAAATTTATGGAATTGTGTCATATGTTGCACCTGAGTTATTTAAAGGAAATAAGAACACAAAAGAAACTGATATTTATAGCATTGAGATGTTAATGTGGGAAATATTTGCAGGCCATCCACCATTTGATGATAGAGCTCATAATCATAATTTAATTTTTGATATATGCGAAGGTTTACGACCACCAATATTACCAGGAATGCCTGATGATTATGTGCAAATGATGAGGAAATGTTGGGATGTGGATCTATCTAAAAGACCAATTACTAAAGAGCTTCTGAAATTTTCGATAAAAAAGTCGATATCTTCTTTTAATAATAAAGATGGTAACAACAGCAATGATGGTGGTGATAATTCACAACCAGTACACGAATCACATCCATACGCATATCATATAAGTAGAATATTAGATGAAGAAATTGCTAAATCAAAAAACTTGAAAAGTCATTCAAGTGACGATAGTTCATTAGAAGATCTTGATTTTAGCAAAGGTGAATTAACTTCCATTACTAATCAGAAATCATTATCCATTAATTATTATCGCTAATAATCTTTTTAATTAATTAACAAACATTAGATTAAAATATTTATGAATTGGAGAATTGGTTCCCTGGTTTGGCTAGTGAACTGAGGTTTTTTTTATATTGTAATAATAATAATAGTTTATTTAATACCAAAGTGTGCGCATTTAAATTTATACCATATTAATACGTAGCTTAGGTTTGATAAATATTCATGTAAAAATTCAATGTTTCAAGCTTTTTCGATTGACCTGTTTATCAATTAACTATATCCTTGAGAACCCAAGCTACTACGAATTGATATTTTAATATATAAAGTTATTGCATATAATTAAATTGTATTGCGCGAATCAGCAATCTAAACTTTCATATGTGAAAAGCAATATCATAAAGAAGATTATTGTAACAATTATTAACAATTCAAATTGCTGTTTAACTGGAGTTCGAACTGTGGTCCGATTAAACCGTGGTTGGTCTCCCACTCTAATTCAAAGACATTTATTGTATCCTGCTTTCATAAGAACAAGACATCACAAAATAGAAAAAATGACAGCAAAATTTTGGTGAGAATTTGAGCTGGAACCTGATTCGGTGGAACATAGTAAAATTTTGCGTAAGAAACGATCAAATTTTATACTTTTTGCATTAGCTTTCTTGGAAGAAGGCTAATTGTGCAGTAAAGTTGTACCGCCAGAAACTGTAAAAATTCTGTATGTTATTTTTTATAATTGTGTCATATAAAGGTGGCAGCAACTTGATTACGGCCAGTTTTTTAAAAAGATAATCCTAGCGATTGAAGATAATTTTCTGTTATTAAAAATTTGATCGAATGTTCATGAGACAAATACTTTTTTATATATGGTAATTCCGTTATAAAACCAACTTGTCTATATTTATTGACCGGAAGATCGACTTGTTAAAATAATTACGGGTGTTCCGTAACTAAGTATTGAACGGTTCGGCTCATAAACTGCTTGCTTGGCTAGTTGAACGCGATTTATTTAATATATACGGCACCTAGACAAAAGAATTGGAATGTTAATTGCAAATATGTATATATTATCACCATTGAATTTATGCATATGCATGTAGCTTAGGATTTAATAATTATTTATATAAAATTAATGTTTCTAGCACTAATCGAAGAGGCCTTAGAAACTATCCAGTGAATAATAATAAAAAAAACTTCAATTACTCAAAACCTACATAATAACATAATAACATAGTTTGAAATTTTCACATACGCTCCCAATCCGTAACTTTATATGAATTAATCAAGAGTACAAGGAAAAGTTAGACCCCCTTCAAAAGTTGTTGGAAAAAATTTCAGCAATGGATTATATATATAATAATTTGAAAGGAGGGCAAGAAAACATTGACCACTGCAAGAAGGCGTCTCAGCATTGCGAATGCATCTTGTGCCCTTTAAAAGCAGGTAGATTAAGAAAATATACAAGAATGGCTAATAATTTGACTTATATGGAGATCACATGATATCACAATTATTTTGTGGCGCTATGTTCGTGTTTTTTTTCATTTTTACTTTTTTAAAAAAACACTAACAAAATGGCCAATAATGATGATAATTTTCTTTCAAGTCCTGTAAAACATTCTTCATATATCCATACATCAAAGTCAAGTATTCTAACACCACATAAAATCTCTATACTTCTACTAATAATCATATATTTTGAGTTATCCTCTGGAACAGCTAAATTGGAATCTTTGTTATTTTTCCTAATTGAAAGGATCTCGGTAAAATATTTTCCTCGACATTTGATCATCAAAAGCAATCTTCTCTTCTGATATCATTAATTAATTTAAACGTTTAAAACTAGCGTGAATTCCGTTTTCCTGAGCCTTCATTACAAGAATTTTGTGATGAAATTTCAAATTTACAAACACCCAATGATTCTATTAAATTAAAGGAGGTTTTATTAAAAAAGGTATATTTTATTTTAATTTATTTATAGTTTTAATTTAACAAAATCTAATAAATAATTTATTTCATACAAACATATACCACATAAATATTAGCTTGCAGATGTACATAGTCCTCACGATTTGCTTGAAATTTTCAATTGTATGAAATATTTTTATTATTATTTTTTTTATTGTTATTATTTTTAACTTATAGTTCGTTTTTTATTAATATATAAATATTTTATCCATTATTATTATGGTTATTATAGTTTCTAGTGGCTTATTGGATGATGATACTGAAGTATGTAATGATGATAATTTTCAAATATTTCAAATTAATTCAATTACTCCATAAAGATGCAATTTGAATTAATCATTTTTTGTTTCATTAATTGAGAACTTTTAGAACACATCCAAGGTACTACTAATTAATCATTTTATTACATTAATAACAAATAACTTTTAAAATTTTAAATTCTTTCAACTTTTATAGCAAAAAAATACATCAAAAATTTGCTCAAAGAGCAACTTGTTTGGTATATATATTCGCAAATGCCGTCTTGAAAGTAATAAATTAAGTTTTGGTGATATCATCAAGCTATTTAATGCCTTGGTAAAATACAAGAAAACTTTGAAAAATCAATCATCACTATTAGTCAATAATTTGGCCGATGATTCTCACGTTTTATATAATATTGCACACAAATATCATATCGAAAATCAAGGTTTGATTGAACTTTCTTGATTTTATTATTAGAATAATTTTGCTAATAAGTTTAACTAATTTCATTAAATTAAATTATTTACAATAATTACTATTAATTAACATTAGAATTATATGCAAAATGTGATGCCTTTTCATATCTACATTATATTATCACTAATCTCCACAGTAAGTAAATTATATACATGTGTGTGTATATATATATTAGTTATTTAAGATACATTAAATTGATTTCCCATTCCCAAAAATACAGAATATGGCGGTGTTGTACCTGAAGAAATTGAAAGGAAGATTCGAATGATAAATGAGCAGATGCCAGAACTTTCTGCAGTGCATTATATTGAGTAAATTATTATTATCATTATAATTTGCTTATCATTAAAATTTGATTATACATTGAATACGATTATATAATCATTATATTTATCAGTTATGTTAAATGTATGCAATCAGGTGATTATGAAGGTGCATTAAATAACTTTTACAAATATTCAAACTGTTGTCCGTTAGAGGCAGAAAATAGGTACATAAACAAGTCAATTATTTTGATTTATTTTTTATTTTTAATAACTGATTTTTCATTATATAAATCTTATATTTTAAAGGAATTGGTATCAGTATGTTTTGTTAAATTTAGTAGTCTTACATACCAGATTTGGCCATAAAGAACAAGCTATATTGGTTTGTTTTCAAGACTTTTGATTTTTGTTTCATGATTGGTTTTAATTTTCCTAAAGTTATTTCTCTATTAAACTTACAGGCAATCAAAGAAGCAATTGAAATGGCACGTGATTGTAATGATCAAGAATGTTTACGTTTTGCATTAAGGTAAATACTCCATTACAATGACGATGCTTTAATATTTATTTAACATATATTGATATATATTGACATGTACAAAATAGCTGGTTGTATCGATTAAAAGCAACTGATCAGATACCAATTGACAATGTTGGACCAACTGAACAACAATTGCTTGATTCACTTATACTTAAAGCTAAAAAAACAAATTATATATACTCGCATGTTTTAGGAGAACTTGGGAGCGCACAACGTCAAGTTCAATTGGTAAAAATAAAAATTTACATATTACATTTACGAAATATTATTTAATAATCATTATTAATAAATCTTATATATACAAAATTTTTTGTTGAATTAGGGTTCATCACCTGCAGAAGTTTTTGATTCATTATTTAAAAGCCATGTTTTAAACTCTAATTGTCAAACCAAAACTATGAGATATCAAGAAAAATTGTTAAATTCAAATATATGGAGTGTCTATGGTATGTACATACATACGTACATACATACGTACACACACATATATATAAATAAATGATTTTGAAGTTATATCAATTAATTAATTTGTTTATTTATATTGTTGTGAACCTTTTTTTTCAGGTAGCTCAATTTTATCATTTTTATATTCCCATTGTGTGAAAGAGGGTAAAAATCCTAATACAGAAGATCTTTTAACATCAATATGTCAATTAGCAGATCAAGTAGATATTAAATTGTTGTTATTATTATGATGTTTTTAAAAACTCAAAAATAATGATTTTATTGTTGTTATAGCATGCTTCAAATGGCAATTACTCGGAGGCAATAAAACTTCTTTCTAAACGTAAGGGTGATTTTCTTAGGGTACGCAAATTGTCAATACTTTGGAATCTCTGTTTAGAAAAAGTTTTATATCAAAAAAGCTTTGAAAGGTAAGTTACTGACCGAACCTAACCCAAAAAAATTGTCTATAGAAAAAGTTTTGTTAATAAATATATTACGTTCTTTTTTACTTTTTTTTAGACAAGAAATAGCAAACATTAAAGCACTAAAGACTCAAATTCGTGCTATCTGTCATAATGATGAGCATTTTCATGTAGACTTTGAATTTAATCATGCTGCATATTTGGCTAAAATAGATAGAACAAATGAGGTATGAACTAGGAATAATATTTATATATTTATATATTGATTTAGGATTTAATTTGATTTATTATTATTATTATTAAATTGATTTTAACTTATTTATTGATATGCATGTATGTACGCAGGCAGTAAATTTGCTTTGGAATTTGACAGAAAACAGTTCCAAGATTGGTTCTACAAATCAAATGTTGTCCTCGAATTACCTGTTAAAAATTGCCAAAATTCAAATAGTATTGTATTAATTAACCTTTTTTTTTATTGTATAATTTTTTTACATTATAATAAGTAATAATCACTCGGTAAATTTTTTTTTTAAAAAAAATTATATTCCAGGAAGCAGAAAATCCAATACCAGCACTTCCGTGTGTTTTAAAATCATTATGCCTTAGCGAAAGATTTCATTATCAAAGAAGCTTTTTCTTGGCAATATTACGGCTTGCACAGATACTAATCCATTTTAATTTACCAAATAAAGCCAAAACTATGATTGAGAATATTATGCATTTGGTATAAACTTTAAACTTTCCCAAGATTGATGATACTGATTATAATTTGTTGTAAATTTTTTTATATTTATAAATCACTCAAATTTTTTTCATTTAGATTCTTGCCGATCATACATTATATTTACAATCACTTGGAAATTTTATTTATGCACAATCTATGATTGCATGTATAAGTCAAAATATGAATGGTTTGTATACGTTTGAGTTGAAGTCTTATTATTTTTCTTATTATTGATATTATTAATTTTTTTCTAAATTGTATTACACAGCTAATGGTGAGCAATCTATTAGTTGGGATGAAGTTTTGTTACCATTAGAAGATGCAAAAATAGGTATTTAATTTTTTCTTAAACTCATTAATATTACCAATGAATTCATCATAAATATATAATAATTATTTGTAAATTATCAGGATTCAAACATTTAGAATCAATATCTGAATTACTTAAAGTTCTTCAATTGCTGTCCTATATATATAATATTAAAGGTGATTTGATTTCTCGTGACAAGGTTGCCGAGGAATTTAAAAAGTTATATTTGTTAAATGAAACAAACAAGGTTAAACAACCAGATTTTAATATTTACTGCCCCACAATTTTTATATAATGTAAACAATTAATTAGTTTGAGCATTGTCTTTTAAATCAATAAAATAAATACATAAAATATAATTCCAACACATTTGAATTTTCTTATAAATCAACCAAAGGACTACTAGACCGAAGATAAAACCATTTTAATTGGTGGGAGTACTTTGTATTTATAGCAAATCAAATCAATATAACAGCTTCAGAATTCCAAAAGACTGTAATCATCCATTAGAACCAAGTTCAAAAATATCCAATGAATCAATTAACTTAAATCAAAAGGTTGAATGAGAACCTCATCCAAAACTGCAAAGGGAGAACCAACAGACACCAAACCAACAACAAAAACAAGTATATCAACAGTTGTGTGTAAAAATAACAAAATTAACCAAAGCATATACACTACCTGGACAAAATGCTAGCACATGTTTAAAAGTTAATAACACAATAACGTACATATTAATGATTAAATAAAAACTGCCATTTCGTAGCTTAGGTTCACCAAATTATATGTGCAAAGTTTCACATCTCTAGCATTTTTATTATTCGATGGTTAAAAAAATAAAATTTTGACTAAAATTTTTTTGATGAAAATGATTGCTTCAATATTTATTACCAAAAAAATTTAATTGTTGAAAATCGTACATAATAATCATATCTGAAATTTTAAAGTTTAATAAACAAAGTAATAGTTAATTCAGTATTTTGTTGGCCACCCATTGTTTTCAATAACTGCTTTAATCTTCCTTGGCATGCTCTCAATCAATTTTATTAGGACATCGTCTGTAATGTTATTCCATTCTTCTTGGAATGCAGACTCCAACTCATTAATGTTTTTAATATTTTTAGGGCGCCTTCTTATTCTTCTTTCCAATTCTGACCATAAGTGCTCAATTGGATTCAAGTCAGAGGACTGACTTGGCCAATTTGGTAATATTTTAATATTATTTGCAGTGTGCCAATTTTCAACAATTTTTGCTGTATGAACTGGGGCATTGTCATCTTGAAATAAATAGCCTTTTCTATCAAAATCTTTATCAATTAGTGGTAGCAAATGACTTTCAAGTATTTTTATGTAGTCAACGCTTTTCATTTTACCCTCAACTTTTACTAATGGACCTAAACCTTTTCCCAAAAAGCAACCCCACATCATTAAACCTCCACCTCCAAATTTTATAGTAGGTGTCATGTTTTCAACATTAAATCTGGTACCAGGAGTTCTCCAAACACATCCTGGTCCATCATTTTTATATATTGTAAACCTACTTTCGTCACTCCAAATAATAGACTTCCATTTTCTTACTGACCAATTTTTTCTTGTGACACCAACTCAAATGATTTGCTCTTTGTACTTCATTTAAAAGAGGCTTTGCAGCAGGAACACGGGAAAAAATATTCATTTCATGCAAAGCTCTTCTAATGGTTTTAGTTGAAACATTAATACTGGTTTTTTCATTAAATTTATTTTTGATTTGTTCAGCAGATTTTCGGTTATTTTGCTTTACAATGTTTTTTAATATTTTTTGACCTTCTTTATTTATTAATTTGGAATGACCAGCTGAATTTTTGGTTGTAAAGTCTTTTTGATCTAGATACTTTTTAATAGTGCGAGAAACTGTTGTTCTATGAAAGCCAAGAATTCTAGATATTTTATGGTTAGGCACATTATTTTTATAAAGACCAATAATTTTGCCATGTTGACTATCATTTAAAGGTAACATTTTGACATAAAAATTTTTCAGTAGATTATAATCAAAAATTTATTAAAAATGATGCCTCGCTCCAAAAAAATTCAAAACAACAAAAATGTTTAATCAAGATGCTTATTATCACATGTCAAAATTTCAGATGAGATTATTATGTGCATTTTTGAGCAATCAATTTTTTTTGAAATGAGCAATATTTTGTCAAAAAAATTTTGGTCAAAATTTTATTTTTTTAACCATCGTTTTAATAAAAATACTAGAGATGTGAAACTTTGCATATATAATTTGGTGAACCTAAGCTACGAAATGGCGATTTTTATTTAATTATTATTATGTACGTTTTTGTACTATTAACTTTTAAACGTGTGCTAGCATTTTGTCCAGGTAGTGTATATATATATATTTATTTATTTATTTATAAATAATAATCCCAAGAATGAGAATATATCATTTCTTCAGCACCCTCAGCAATATCCATAATTAATGAATTATACCAACTGACCATTTTTGAATTCTAAAAATAAAATAAAATAAGAAGCCTTTGTGTAGAAATAATTACTAGTAGATAACACTTTATCAAATATTTATTGAACTTTATTCTTTTATGAGAATTTTTTGCCAAATAAGTATTTTACATTATGGAATGTGTAACTTTTACTAGGAAATGAGTAGGTGCTTACTAAGAAATGAGCAGGTGCTTACTAAGAAATGAGCAGGTGTTTACTATGGAAGAAGTTATGTTTATTTTGAAACGCGTTAAGTTTTTTGAAGAAATTTACAAATTTTTATTAAGAAGTTTTGCTTGAAGTACTTTCAAATAGTTAAGAAACACCAAAATTAGATATAAATAATTTTGAAGTTGTTTCAACGCGTCTTGCCGTAGTTTTACTTTTAAGACAATTACTAATTTGGGAAAACTCGAATTTTTGAAAAAATTGAGCCCCGGATTTACTATTAAATTAACACGTGATTCCCCCTACCCTTAACTGATAATAATTCACTGATTTTTATAATTTATAATATTTATTATTTTTTTTTAATATAAAAGATTTACTATAAAGTATTGGTTGAATGAGCATGTAAGAAAAAATCTTGTTACACAAAATTTTTGGTTCGTTGAATACTAATAGATTTGGCCCCTATTAAACCTAACCAACCTTTTGATGTGTATAATAATTTTTATAACTATGTAATATTTCAAATAATAAAATTTTTTATTGCGGGGCTTGTAATTTAAACCGTAGATTCTATTTCGTTCGTTCCTTTATATTTTCCTTCGCCTGGACCATATGCTTCACCATCATAAAAAGTTTTTACCTATATAAAAAAATATTTTCGAAAAACTTCATTACTTTAAGAAGTGTGTTTTGATCTACCTGATTCATATAAACTTTTTGGTTTACGAATCATCAAATCTTCTCTATTATTCAATTTAAGTTTTTTAAGTTCTGAATACACATGATCAATTGATTCACACAACTTTTGTTCACGATTAAGAAGAACAACAACGTTGTTATTAAAACAAATATCAATGTTCGTAAATGTTTATTCATGATTGAATATTTCCTTATTTCTGTGTGTATAGAATGTGTTGATTATATAATAAACGACTTTCAAATTTAATGTTAATGTTTTTAGTGCATCAAAATAATTCTTAAAACAGACCAGTTTCGGGCGGATTAAGTGTTAACCTGAAATTTGGATCGGTCTCTGATCTGATATTACATTTGCATTAATTAATACTAAGAAAGTAAGCAATATGCATATGAAAATTTATATTCTAATTAAAGATTTTATTTTGAGATGATAAGATTTAGATAAGTTTAAATGAATTTTTTGTGTTTATCACATAAGATTTGTTCCCCAAATTTTATTAATTAAATATAAATAAAAAAACAGTTATACTACTAGTTAATATACATGTCGTTAAAATGAAAGCAATGCTTGTGATGTTGTGCGTGACGTAAAGACACAATCTTGTGATCCAAGGCGTAATTCATGACTCAGGAGGTAATTTATGACGCAAGACGTGATTCAAGACACAAAACAAATTCGTAATGTGTGTATGAATTAATTCAAACTTTTAGCCACATGTAAACTTTTTATTTATTACATGGAAACTTTAGAGGGGTTTGAATGTAACATAATCAGAAAATTCTTAATTGTCATGAAACATGCTTGCGCCACGAATTGGGTCTTACATCTTTATAAGTTATAAATAATTTTGACCACAAGTATAATTGGTACAACTCAATAAAACTCGAAACCGGACCAAAAATTTTCGGGCTCCCGGGCCATTCGGAATTTTAATTATTCTTATTCTATATTCTTAATATTTTTTAATATTAATATTAAGGGTAGAGTATACGTTACAATTTTTTCGAGACAAAGTTAAAAGTGGTGTGGTTAACAAACAACCTTTGAATATTAATTAAAAAACATTTTTATGACCATATAAATATGTTAGAATGATAAAATATTTCAATATTTACTAAAAAAAAAATTTGCTAATTCTGATAACTATTTGATGATATTTTGGCACCCACATAATATTACATATGACGGTTAAGTTTTCTTATACCACAAGGATTTTTTTGTAGAAGACAATCTTTTTAAGGAAATATTTTTCTACTAATAAACTAATTCTCCGCGTTCATATCTAGTAGCTATTGAATTGCTAGAATCTTCTGCATATTCAGGAATTTGAGGTAAGCCTTGTTCTTTTACATCTTTGTTTTTTTTTACCTTCAAAATATGTAAACATTTATTTGTAAAAAGAAATAATAATAATTTAGTCAATTGGCCATGAATTAGACAACAACACTACTCGTTTGTTATAATTTAATATTTTAACAAATAAATAAATATTAGTTAATGATAATAATTGGTAAATAATAATAAAGCTTTCACCAATTACCTCTTTGTATATATATATGTACCGTATAGTCCCGAAATATAGCACTCCTATTTTAAAATTATTTGTTACACGATATAAATGAAGGATGCTATCTTTCGAGACTATACGGTACGGTATATACTTGCAATAAAAATTTTACCTGAAACGTAATTTTTTCCTATCTGTCAAACAATATTAACTGTTGATTGAAACATTTCACAAACACCAAAAAGTTCATCATCAAGAATATGACCTTCTATAATTAATATATTAAAAACACTGATGATAACTTACCAAATCAATTTAGATGCCCAATATGAGTCAATTCCTGATGGTATATAACACTCCTGGTTTATTCCTTACTCAACCCTGGAAACTTAAAAATTTTGATCCAACCGGATGGTTGATTCTGAAAAATTAGACGGTGTAAAAGTTTTCTGGAATGCAAAATGTGGTAAATTTTTATATATTCTATCAGATTATTTGTTTTTTAAAATTCTATTATCATGGTTGATGATGATGGTGGTGATGATGATGATGGGTTGATGGGGTTTCGAATTATTCGTAATACAATTCAATCTTAATTCGAATTATTCACAGCTTGATGCAACAGATTCTATATTTGTTGTTGTTGTTATTGTTAAGGGATTTTAACTATTTGTAAAATTATAGATAAGATAATATAAATTACAATAGTTATAGTTATATTCATAATCTATATTACTACTATTAAAAAAAATGTCATTATCACTATATACAAGGAATATTTTTAATTGGATTGGATTGGCAATGTGCATATTAGTTTTATTCGAATTGTTTTTTATTATTATTATTATTATATATTATTATTATTATTATTATTATTATTATTATTATTATTATTATTAATTTTATTCGAATTATTAATTTTACTTTATTCGAATTTCCTTAAATTTTATGAATTATTAATACTAAATACGCTATTATTAATTTTGAAACTATTACTACGGTTGATCATTATTATCATTGTCGTCGCCACATCATCATCGCGTTACCATTTTTAGTTGTTTTTGAATCACGTACTTTTTTATTATTTGGATTTACCAATTCCGCTCATCTATAGTTTCAAGTCCTCATAAACAACGTGTCTTACATATCTTGTAATAGAAGGTTCAACTTGAAATCCAATATTTTCAACTCTTTATATGTATTGATTGGTATTTGAAGAAGTAAATGTACCAATAAATATCACTATATCTTTCATTTTCTTGCTCTAAAAATTAGTACGAGAGAGTCAGTAAACTTTTTAAAAAATAAATTAAACACGCAAACTAACAAGTTTATGTTTTTTTTATTTAATAAAATTTAGCCAATTAAAAACAAAATGTTAAAGAATTTATTTGATAATTTGAATTGTCAATTCACCCTTTTCGCCATTATTATGATTAACTAATAAAGGACTTAATTTTTGATATACATGTTTTAACACAATTTGTTCATTTGCCTCTGGTTTAATTTGTATACACATTGTACCAATCAATTGTCCATATGAATTTTGCCAAAAATGAACTGAAGTAAGTGATAATATATTTGTATCAAGTTTTACCTATAAACAAATTAATATATATAAATATAAAGATTATACTTATCAATCAATCAATCAATTGATTTGAAATTACCTCTCTCAAATAATCTTCTAAATACATTGATATTGAATCAGGAGTTGTTTGTAATAGTATTTTTCCTAATGATGTTGCAATAGGACAAGCTAAATAAAACATAAGCATTGATTCTATTATTGATACAACTTTATCCAACCATCCTAAGTGTTGACTTAAAAAAAAATTAAAATAAATAAATAAATATATATATATTAATGTACAAATATGTATAAACGTTTATAGTACTTTTTTTCCATAAGTTTTCCAACTATAATTACACTTATTCCACATATCAACACTGTTAAAGTGAATAAATTATTGAATATTATTAATGATATACCATCATCTTCCTTATCATTATTATTATTAAAATATGATGTTGAACTTATTCTTCCCTTTATGAATGATGATTTCCATACTATTTGTTATTCAATAAAAAATTTTTTTTTCTTTTTGTTAATTAGAATGATTTAATTAATATAAAAGATAATAAAAACAATTTATATACATAATTACTTAAACTAACATATACAAAATCCTTTGTGATTTCGATAATTAATTGCTGATATTAAAGTTACTCCAAGTGCTAATATAACCCAATATAATGGAAATACAAAACTATGTAGGAATTATATAGTTAGTTCATAATCAATTAAAAATGTATAGCCAAATAAATATATATCATGTAAAAATATTTATTAATGTACTTATGATCATAATGTTCCTCACTTGTCTCCAGTAATAGATGTTCTAAGCCTTCTTTTAATATATATAAGGCAACAAATAATAAATATAAAATATTTATAAATCCAAATAATATTTCATATCTTTGAACTCTAATAATAGTAAAACAATAAAAATGATTATTAGCTATAAATAATAATAATAAGTCAAATTTCTTAAAAATAAATTTATTTACCCAAAAGGATTTTTAATTGTTGGTTCTCTTAACGATCTATAAGTAATTAAAACTGTTGAAATAAAAATTGTGAATATTCCCATGGCATCAAATATTACTAAATAAGCAAAGCCTGTTAAAGCTAATAAAAAAAAGTTTTAATTTTATAAAATAAAGAATCAAATAACCTTTCTTTTAAATAGTGATATAATAGTAATAATGATAAAATTTTACCTAATCCATTCCCCCATTGACCTTTTAACCATAAAAATATTCCCAACAGCAAATGTATTACCCCCCATGTGAATAATGTTTTTTGTGATGGAGGTAATGAGGAAAATATATATGAAATGGAATGCATTATTATTAATCATCAGTTAGTTTGATTATTAGTTAGTATTGATTAATTGGTTAGTATTATTGGTTCAATGACTCGAGAAAAACGCGCAGTTGCATCAACTTCAAAAAACCCGTGCAAAGAGTTTTTGCCTTTTTAGTAGCGTTGGTCATCATTTTCTCTAAATTGAACCAATCAATTGATTGGCAGATAATAAATTCATCTAAATTATGAACTAATGAATGGGATTCATTATTAATTACAAATAATAAATAATTAATGGTTTGAAAAGAACAACAACAACTCTTTACGTTAGTAAATATGTCTTACACTTTCATGAACACGATGTGGCTGGGTACGTTGAAAGATATGGACATGATGGTGGTAGGATCCTGGGGAATTCCATAACGTTGAATGATATAGTCTTCACGTATATCTCTTTGAGGATCTTATTCCGTTATAGTAGTACTTACAAGGTTTGGTTTCCTGCTGATTGTTTTGTTAAGTCGAAAAACAAAAACAAAAACATTTATTTATATTATTCACAAATATTTGATTGGTCTTTTGTAGAATTTGAAGATAGAACAAATATGCAGAGGTGTTTATAATGAATATCATGGTGCCAATGTTGAAGGCCATAGATTAAGATATTCAATCATCTAGGAACAACTCCATCACCACCTCATTGTACAATAGAAAATTATTACCCGTGATAAAAAAATATTATTTATATATTTTGAATTCAATCATCATCGTCAAACTCTACTGTTAACACAAGAACTAAACCAAAGCTAGAAAAAACATTAATTCAGAAACAGCTACTGGAGACAATATTAATAAATAATGTTAATAATATAATCTTGATGCTGTGACAAATATTAAGGATGTTTTAAGTGCAGGCAAATATAAATTGCCTGCGCAATTATTAGAGAAATATCATGTAGATGATGATTTTAAAACTGGTTCATGTCAAAAAAAAATAGATCAAATGATAGTAATGATAATCTACAAAAGTAATCATTACTATAAATAAGAATTAATATTTGGCCATCTTGTCAATTTTATCACCAAGAAATAATGTTAATGAAAAGAATGTAATAATTATCTTTTTGCAAGTCTTGAAAATTATCAAATGGTTTATTGATTTCCAAAACTGAGCTTAATACTAACCAAAATAGCTTTTTTTCACCATTTCATATTTTTTAAAAATACGCATTTTTTATTTCTAGTTCTTGTTCATTTACTTCCTGATCCTAACTTATTTTCTGTAGGCATAGTACCATTAAATGTGCTTACAGACTCATTTAAGTGCAAGAAAGAGGCAGTAATCAAGAGCTAAAGTAAATTCTTCAACTAATTAATTGACAAGCACCAAATTATTGTGAGTTTCTTATAATTAACCAACAAAAGTAGCCTTTTAAGCCATAATTGTTAATCAACCAAAATGATGCCTTGCAATATCAAGAATCAAAAAGTTTACTTCAAAACATTATAATTCAGCTTTAAGAATAAAATAAAAAAGATAAATAATTATAATGAATAAATTTTTATATAGTCGATTCTTTAATCAATATTGTTAGTAGTAATTAATGGACAGTAATTCCAATTAATTAATAATGAAATTTTTATTCATCTTTGTTAACATTTTAGAGAAAAGAATTAAATCAAGATTGTTTAACAAATTATCATTACTTGTATAACTTTTTGAGAGCTTTTATATTTGGCAATCTTTTCATCTAATATTTCTAATATTCTATTTATTATATGATATGCATCTGGATGTGATTTATGTACTTGTTACGAATCACTACCACCACTGCCATCATTATTAAAATCAGCTTCCATGTTGTTTGATGTTAGAAAATTTCTAATAATCTTTTTATTATTTTTTCAGCAAAATCATAAACTCTTCACTACAGTCATACCTCTTTTATATCCCCCTTATTTATATCCTAACCTTGATTAAATCCCACAAATAACAGTTACATTATTTGTAATAAACAATTTTCTTATTATAATAATACACTTCCTGGTGATAAAATAGTTTATTTAAAATTTTCTCTAACAAGATTAAAATTGCATAGTTTAAAGAGCAATTTTATCTCTGGTGATTGATTCATTGTGATTCAGCAATAAAAGAAATTTCTGCATTCTTTGTTTTCTCCTTTTATCACTTTTAATCTTCAAAGTTAAAACTGTGCCAAATCTTGTCTTACATAAAGGTTGTTCTACGTACCAATATTGATCAACTTATGTTGCTTCAACACAGGCACTAAAGACAGCTCAAGCATGTTCTTATTTTATTATTAATTTACTATTACATGTAGTTAACTAAATTCAAAGCCAAAATTCAAAAAACATAGAGTTAACACAACTCATATGTATGTAAAAGTTCCTCTACATACCAATACTGACCTGCCTATGTGTGTTTCAAATTCAAGCACCAAAGACAAATCGAATGCATTTTGATTTTATGAAATGTAACAATAAAAGAAGAAATATTAGTAATAGTTTTAATTTGTAAAAAAAAGAATGTGCATTTTATTTTGAAAGAAAGTACATAGAAAAATTTTCATTCTTCAACAGATTGCTATCTCTTAAGTCTAATTCATTGTACTGCGGTTTTGGTATATCCTACAATACATGAATTAATTAATAAAAAATCTTTAATATATCCAAGCAAAGGGAATTGGAGCAGTCATCATAGATACTTTGTATTTGCATCATTTTTTGATTTTAAGATTCAAAATGGCGAATTTTATTTATAATTTAAGTTTTAATGTTAAATTTATTAGTTCATGTTGTAAATAGTCTATTGAATTCTCATATAAATTGTTTATTAATAAAGAATGGATGGATGAAATCTATAGATTTTTAATATGGAAGAAACACATATATATTACTATTATACTTTTGCACATTTAAAATATAATCCACCTCTGAGAATCCAGGTCTTAAATGATATTCTAGTTTATTATGAAACCACTACTAATTTTTTACCTATATAAATAATATTTACAGGTATTATTATAATTTATTATTAAAAATTTTGTTTAAAAAAAAATTGAATAAATGAATTAATTAATTAATTTAATTAATGAATGAATGAATGAATGAATGAATGAATGAATGGATGAATGGATATATAATGTTATAATGATAATAATAATAAAGTTTCTTAAAAAGATTATTAATTTTTTCTAATCGAATAAATTTAAATATAAATTTGAGTTTTATGATAATCAATTAATTAAAAATACAATAATAAAATAAATGAAAGTATTAAAAAATATTATTAAAAAAATTATAAAAAAATTATTTTTGGTTGTTTATTTAAATAATAAAAAATGACACCTTATGTTTGATTCATTTGTTTCATCTGATTCAAATTTCTTAAAGCTGCTGCTTTTTTCACTTCATCAAGCCTTGCCATAATTTCATCGTAATCTTCTAGTCTTGACGATGCTCTATCGTTTATGCTCGTGCCTGAATGTGTACTCCATCTTGAATTAGTATAATCACTAACACTGTCATCATCGGGAATGTTGCTATTAAATTGTGACGTTAACATATCGAGTTCACTTGTTAATTTTTGTGAATTTCTCTGGCTAGAATCTTTCATTTCATCATCTTCCATTCCGCGATACGTATCTACTGCATTTTCCATTTGATCTAGTAGAAGTGATACTTTATTCTCGGAATCTTGCAACTTTTGTACCAGATCCACGTTCAAAACTTCCAATTTCATATTATTTTCTCGATATTTTATAACCTCCTTTTCTAATCTATCCCTTTCCGCTTTGAGATCCTCTAATTGTTTGCCACTTACATCGTCATTGGCACCTGCTGTTGAAGCCTTTCCTGCTAATTTTAATGCATCATCAAGATCTTTGTTAACTAATACATATAATGAAAGTGTTTCTTCCAGTTCGGTTTGTACCTCTTTAACCTTTTCTCCTTCTTTTTTCAATTGTTCTTGAAGTTTCTCATTGTTTAATTTCAATAATTTATGATCTTGCCTTATTGATTCATATTCCTTCCTCAATGCTTCATACGATTGATCTACCATAATCTTTTCTTCGCGTGAAGAATTCAATTGTTTCTCAATATCCTCAAATTTCCTATTAAATTCTTCCTTCTCTTTTTGATTTTGTTCTCTTAATTCGATAATTTGATTATTTGTAAATTCTTGAGTCTTGGGATCTTCTCTCATCATTCCAATTTTAATTTCTGCATCTTCTAGTGCTCTTACTTTTTCTTCTAGAAGGTTTTCTTTTTCGCGTAATTTTTCTTTGATTTTTTTAGCTTCATCCAAAGAATCAGTTAATTGCCCTTGTAATATAACTGCCTCCTGTCTAGCTTTCATCGCAGACGATTCCAATTGTATAATTTTTAATTTGGCCTCTGATAATGATTTAGATGCTTCAGTTGCAGAATTATGAGATTCGGCATGCATGGTTTTCCATTCTATTAATTCTTTTTCAAGATTAGTTTTGTCTGCTTCAGTTAAATTGTTGAGATTATTTTCATTTGTTTTTGATTTCTCAAACAACCCTTTCATTCCTTCTTGTACTGTTGCACGGAAAGCCTCTGCTTCATTTTGTGCTCTACTCAATAATCGTTCAGTCTCATCGATTTTGGAATTTGCTCTGTTTAATTCACGGTTTTTGGCTTCAAGCTTATTACGTAATTTTGATGTTTCCTTTTCAAGCGATAGGTTATCTTGACGCGCTTGTCTCCATAAATTTTCTGATTCATTTGCTTTTTCCTTTGCTGAGATAAGCGCGTGATTGACAGACTCAAAAGCACGTTTTTGTTGTTCCATTAATTGTTTATAATATGTCAACTCATTATGTATGTTCTCCGATCCAGATTTATATTGTGCTAACTCGGAACTAACTCCTGTGTATTGGGCTTT